GCAGTGAACTGTCTCAAACATGGCACCTTGTGGGCAGGATGAGAGTGAGAATTTTCTGGATTATATTAGTTGCCTGAGGCTGCTGTAACAAAATGCCATGAACTGGTGGCTTCAACAACAGAAATTGGTTTCTCCCGAGGCTTCTCTCCCTGGCTTATATTTGCCTGCTTTCTCACCGTGTCCTCACAAAGTCCTTCCTCTGAGCATGTGCTTCATGGTGTCTCTGTGTGCTCAAATTTCTTCTTATAAGAACACCAGTTAGGTTGGATTAGGTCCTAATCTAATGGCTTCATTTTCATTTAATCACCTCTTTTAAGGTCCTATTGGCAAATATAATCACATTCTAAGGTACTAGGGATTAGGATGTCAACATATAAATTTGAGGGAAGGGGCACAAATTCAGCCCATATTAGATAAATATTATGAGTCAATTTCTGAGCCATAGAGTATGCGGGCACTTAATTTGGCTACATCCATGTATATGTCCATAAGGAATAGATGAGATGTCCTATCCTGATCTCCACCTACATTTAGCAACATCTGTTATTTTACTAACCCAATCTGTATAAAATGGTATCTCCTTATTGTTTTAAATCTCATGTCATATCCTTGTGAGTTTTCAGAATTTCCTCTTCTATAAATAGCTTATTGATTCTGTTTGTCCATTTTTCTACCACATTTTCCTTTTTCTAGGTGATTTTTAGGGTGCCCTTGTCTATTATAGATAATGGTTTTAGATATTGGGAATATCTTCTCTTCTTCTGACATTTGTCTATTAGCTTTGCTCATAGTGTACTTCATGAAAGAACAGGAATCTTCAATTTTGATGTAATCAAAATCATCAATTATGTTTTTCCTTATGCTATGGCCTTCTGAAATTCTGTTTAAAAAATCCTTTCCTGGAATTAGACCACAGAGATAATCTTCTACTTATTCTTTTATTATATTTACAGTTTCATCTTTCAAATTTAGTTCTTTATTCCATCCAGTCTCTACCTTTTTATGTAGTGCAAGGTAGGGATATACTTTTTTGCCATCTAGTGAGCCAGTTTTCCCAATACCATTTACCAAGCAGTGTTTTTTTCTTCACTAGTGTACAATAGAGGTGCCACTTTGATTTTCTATTAAATTCCATATATTTATGGGTACATCTCTGAGCTCTCTGTGATATCCTACTGGTCTATATTTTTGCTCTTTCTCAATAACACTCTAGTTTTATTGTTGATTAACCTCAGCTTTATGCCATGTCTTGATGAACTGCTAAGGTAAAATGTCCATTAGCCTTTTTTATTCTGAAAGATTTATTTAGCTAATCACAAAAATTTATTCCTTCTTTACATTTTGGATAAGTCAACTGAATTCTTTAAAAAAGAAAAACATTCAGACAGAATTTGATTAGAAAGGAATTGAGTCTCTAAATTAATTTGGAGACAATTGATATTTTTAATATGTCTGAACATTTATTAAAACCATAGTCTACGTGTTTTACTAGGATTTTGAAGTTTATCCTATAGAGGTACTAAATATTTTTGGTTAAACCAGATAGTTTAGAGATTTGATGTACAGCACGGGGGCTATAGTTAATAATATTGTATTGTATATGAGGGTGACCCCCAAAAAACTGGATTTATTTTTTGGAGGGTGAACTCCTTGTAGTATAGGCTTCCCCTGCTAGGTAAGTGGTCTAAGACCACAATGGCATCAGTATGTCAGCTAACGTTGTGAGAGGCTGTGCTCGGCTTCAGTTAATTTTTTTTTTTTTTTTTTTGAGTTGGAGTCTCACTCTGTCACCCAGACTGGAGTGTAGTGGCCGTTCCCGACCACCGCAGCCTCGACCTGCTGGGCTCCGGCGATCCTTCCACTTCAGCCTTCCAAGTAGCTGGAACTATAGGCGCGCACTACCATGCCCGGCTAATGTTTTGATTTATTGTAGAGTTGAGGTCTCGCCAAGTTGCCCAGGCGGGTCTCGAATGAATTTTTTTTTTTTTTTGGAGATTCTTTCAACACATTTACCCATTTCATAATGGGTGATTTACAAGAGCACCTGCCCACACCACTCTGAGTATTCAGTAGTTTTGACCTATTCACTCTACCTCACCCCAAGTGACTGTTTTTTGTTTCCCCGGATGAAAAATGTCCTCGAAGGGAAATGTTTGCCAATGTGGAAGAGGTGACACCAAAAAACAGAAAGCACTAAAAAGCATAAAAATTGATGAGTTCAAAACTGCTTTTGAGCAGTGAAAAAAGCATCTCGAAAGGTATATTGCCTTCAACAGAGAGTACTTTGAAGATGACTGAAGTTTAAACATGTAAGAATAAATATACAAGTTTTAGAAATAAATTCTGGCTTTTGAAGGGGTTCCAAACCCTTGTAGAACATTTGCTAAGATTTTAGGTGTTCTTATCACAAAAAAAGTAACAATAACTATGTAAGATGGTAGATATGCTAATTCACTTGCCTGTAGTAATTATTTCATTATATACATACATCTCAAAACATCATGTTGTATACCTTAAATATATGCGTAAATAAACAAACCAGGAAATCTACTGACTTTGTTGATATTATGAATGCTATTTTAATAAGATTATATAATTTTAATTATATAATTATATAAAATTATATAAAACATATTTCCATATTGCTTAGCTAATTTAGTATTTTAGTTTCCTTTTTTTAAAACATATTTTTTATTTTAAAATTGTGGGGTACAGTTAAGGGTTAAGTATACAAATATGCATTGTGCAGGTATCCTTGTTGATGAGGTGTCAATGTTATGTTTTATATTATGTTTTCTAATGGGTAGCTGGTTTAGAGTAAAGGCCATTGCTACTTGTAATCTTAAATCAGCAATCTCAAAAAAATTCTCTAATTATTCTGAGAGCCCGTCTGTTTGTTCTCCCTGTTTTTCCAGGCATATGATTCTATCATCTATAAATAATGATAGTTTTATCTTTTCCTTATAATCCTTGAACTTAATTTTATTTTTCTTTCCTTATAACTTTGGCCAGAACCTTGAGTCACATATAAAATGGTAGCAGCGGTAGTAGATATCCTTGTCTTAGTCCTGATCTTTAAGTTTCTCCATTGGGTTATTATTTTTTTTCATATAGCTTTTGTGGTGTATAATGCTTATTAAGTTAAGAAATTTTATTTCTACTTTTAGGTTTCTGAGAGCTTATACATAAATAGGTAAACCTTATTAAAGTTTTTTTTGCATTATTTCAAGTAATTATATGACTTTTCTCCTTTAGGTCATTATTAATGAAGTGAATTATATTGACTAATTTTTCTCTACTTGCATTCACGGAATAAACCCTATGTGATCATGATGTATTATTTTTTAATACACTTGATTTCAGTTAGCTCATATTTTGGGGGGTTATTGCATCTGTAGCATAAGGGAATTGGACTTATAATTTTTTGTTATGCTGCTTTTATCTGGTTCTGGAATCGATATTTCACTAGCTTAATAAAAGGAGCTGAAAGCTATTGCTCTTCTATTTTCTAGAACAACTCTTTCTTAAAAGTTTGTTAGAATTCATTTGGAAAGCAATCTGAGCCTGGGGCATTTGGGGCAGGGGAGGGATGTCAACTATCGTTTCAATTTCTTTAGTATTTCTAGTTCTTGTTTTCTGTTTCTCTGTCCTCTGTTCTATCTGATTCCCTCATGCATAGACATACCTCAGTCCTCACTGCCCCATTCACATGCCACAAACAGTCTTTATCTTTGAAGATCCTGACTATACTTTAAAGAAAAAACTCAAATCTCCTACTTTTGAGTCAGTTCCTAGCCCCTCATAACACTGTTACTCCTTCCGTATTGCTCTGTGTGTATATCTTACATTATTCTTATTACCTTTGTCATCTCTATGCATTATTTCCATTTTTACCCAGCAATGGATGATCTGATGTCATGTATATAATATCACCTTTACCTTGCAAGCAGCCGTTTTCTCTAAAATCAAAAATTAATTTTGTCAAAGTAGAGAACATAATGCTAGTATCTGAATTTTTCACCCTTTCCCTTTGTATACAAATATAGAAGGTGAATGCTTTACACAGATACTTTGTGCTTTGTATAAACATTCCTCTTCATCATCCAAACCCCATCATCACCTCATCTCAAGGCCTCATTCACCTAGGCAGAGCCCATTGATCCAGTGTGGACTACCATTCATCCCTGCATCTCTACCTCACTTTCTAAATGCCTCTTTAGTAAATATCTTTTGGGAACAAATGCTGCCAGGCCAGAGAAGTGGAGAAACCTGCTATCTTCAAGGTAAAGCATGAAGATCCACTAATCTAGGTTGGTGACATTTCTAGGAGGGTCCTATTTACCCCTCATGCCCAGTACAATCTGCCTTTTGCAGGTAACACTGGTCACCAATCCACTGTGATCAAAGATGGCAGGAAGCATTCCAACCTAAGTCAAAGTGGGACAATTGGCAAGTGTACAAATTATAGTTCTATTCACTGCTCATTCACTTTTCTAAGAAGTTGCTCTTTACCATATCCAGTATTGGGACCACAGAGAGGTAAGACTGTCATTTCTTCCACATACCAATCAAAATAGTCATGGTCTGGTAAGAAAGTCAAACATATTAGCTGAAATTTACAACTGATAAGAACTGTGATGGAAACAAGTACCAAGGGCTAGAAAGAATCCAGGGGCTACTCTATGGTGAAACTCATCTGTGGTCCCCACCACTGTCATCAGCGCTCAGGTACATGAGCTGCCTTAAAGGAAGTAGGATCTGGTCTATGGAGTCACAATCCCACCACACATTAGCTGTGGTACTTTAGAAAAGTTGGCTGGTCCTTCTGAGCCTTAGTTCCTTCATCTATGAAGTGGAGCCAAGGGCATCTGCCTCACATGGTTGTCAGGAGGAGTTCATGAGATGACGTGTATAGTGTCTGGCATGCAGCAGAACCCAGGATCCTGGGAGCTGTTGCTCATCTCGGGACGAGTACCATGGCTCTTTGCTTTTGATTGCAGGTGGTAACACCAGACGGGCGTGGGAAGAACCGAGCTAAGTGGGGCCTGCTGAAGAATATCCAGTCTGCCCTCCAGAAGCGCTTCTGAGCCCCCTCAGAGCATGCAGCAATCTCAGAGACACACCACAAAAAAAAACATATATATACACACATATGTGTATATATTTTTTTCTTGACACATTCTTCAAGGCGGTTATAGATGACTGTCTCAAAGAACTCTGAGTTCTTCAACAAGAATTTCTAAGAGTTAATAAAAGGAAATACCTAACATCATGGCTTGCTATTTGTTTAATGACAGCTGTTTGTTTGATGACAGTATGATACAAAACAGTCGGCAAGTCCGGATGTCTCCATCATCTCAAGTCTGGTCCTACTCTCAGAATTGCGTGGTGTGTTGTGTGGAGCAACCACCCAGGTTCTGGGTGGTAAAAAGAGCATCTATTTACAGTCCGGACCCTGGATGTGTGCATTCTAATGTTGGCCAAACTTGCTTTGGGTGTTTTGGCAAGTCACTGATTGATGGGGAACTCACCATGTCGTCTATTTTGGCATTGAGTAGCCAACATTGTTAGAATGTACTTCCTAACTGTGGAGCTTAAACTTGCCTTTCCACAACTTTCACTCCACGGTCTGAGGTCTGCCTCCGGGCCATGGAGAAAGAGAGCCCTCGCTTTTCTCCTGCTCCTTCTGTACCTCAGAACAAATGTAGGATGCCTGGTTGAAAGATTCACTATGGTCCTTTGAAGCAAGGTATGGGAAAATGAGAGTCATGCATCAGCTACAACCTTGCTGAACTCAACCTGGCCCTTCAGACAATATGAAGCCCCAAAGTTTATTGTCATACAAGGCCTCATCTGCCTAGAATGATCCTCTCCTGAACTCCACCCCATTTCTGGCCAGAAAGCTTGTCTTTCAAGACTCAGCTCACTTTCTCCAATGACATTCCAAGTGAGAACGACACATCCCTTCTTCCCTGTGTTCCCTAGAAGCACAGGGTCCTACCCCCCAACTCTTATCCCCCATTCTCTCCCTGTGATACTTAGGAGCTCTTATGTGTCCTCGGTCTTAGGTCAGAGACAGGGTCTCATTTCTATCCTCAGTGCCTGGCATTGTGAGGTACCTGTTACATGTCACTGCCTGGAGAGAACACAACACAGTTAGAAGACAGGCTCAAGGCATGACTCTACTCTGCACATCTACAGATGACAATCTGCATGATGAGGGTTTGACACAGAAATGGAAGTGGGCACAGAAAGGGCCAGGCAGTTGCTGGTCTCCACCTCCTCTAATCTCATCTCTTTATGAGCTGTTCCACTAGTGAGTGTGGCCAGCCCCTCTAGCTTCACCATGGGACCTCTGCTTTGCAATACTTTCGTTTGCATCAGAGCCAGAAAAGGCCCATTCCCTGTAAGAGGTCCCTAGTGAGGATCTGCTGATAATGTGAGAAAATGGAGCCAAGCAGGTTTCTGCCCTGCCCCCCAACCGTATTAAAGAAGGGCTACCCCAGGGAGCTTCCTTACGATCCTATGACTGTAAATGATGGCTGAAATCTACCATCTGATTTGGTATTACCATATAATCATTTCTGTAAAAGTCTTCAGAATCATTATTAGCCCGAGGAACGAATTAAATGGCATACCAGCAGGGATTTTACTACTGACAAACTAAAATGAAATTAAACTAAAAAAAAAAAAAAAAGACAGAACTGTATGAATATTACACTGCAATGATCACAACTACTTGTGGTGCTAACAAGGACTAGGGCAGAATTAAAGAAGCCACAGAACCCTGATCTTGTGTCTCTAGAAAACACGTAAACTTGCATTCATGACCAAGACAGTTAGCTGAATTTTTGAGAAGCCCACTTAACCAGTAGTTGAACCATTCCACCAAGTGCAACGTGGGTTTCTTAGCAGCACAGAGACCACTGCACATTGTTTGGTCTCTGAGGTTATGATTCACACAAAGTCCCTCCTTCCAGGACCATCTCTGAGGTGCAAACATATATATTCATATTAGTTCATGTGTGTATATGTATGTATGCCAAATATAATCTAGAAAATTGTAAGTCTGTATAAATATATACCACTATGTTGAACCATAATCTCTCTGTACAGCCATATATTTCAACATCCTTAACAGTTTTCTTTGGAGAACAGTCTATGGCTATATTTATAGATCATTAGTGGCAGTGTCTACTTGAGAACATCTTGCAGGATATTAGAAAAGTTGCTAGCCAAGTTAATAGTAGTTTTTCTTACACCTCTCCTTTTTTTGATATCCATTTGATATTCATTCTTTCAGTTAGCAAATGAAATGTAATGAGTCCTAGAGACTGTGGGAACACAGTGGTCAATTAAACAGGCACGGCCCCTACTCCACACAACTTACAATCTAATGAGTAAGACAGATAAAGTAGGCAGGGTTCGGTGACTCAGCCTGTAATCCCAGCACTTTGGGAGGCTGAGGTGAGTGGATTGCCGGAGCCCACGGGTTCGAGACCTGCCCAGGCAACTTGGCGAGACCTCATCTCTACAATAAATCAAAAATTAGCTGGGTGTGGTAGTGCATGCCTGTAGTTCCAGCTACTTGGAAGGTTGAGGTGGAAGGTTCACAGGAGCCCAGCAGGTCGAGGCTGCGGTGGCCAGGAGCATGCCACTGCACTCCAGTCTGGGTGATGGAGTAAGACTCCAACTCAAAAAAAAAAAAGATAAAGCAAGTCAAGGTATAAACACATAGATGACTGGATGAGAGGTGCTAGGAAGGAAAGAGTTATGGAGCTGGGAGGTATCAACTCCAAAGATGGTGTTAGTGAAAGACTCCCCAAAGAAGTGAATTGCAAGCAGCTTCCTCAAGAATGAGAAGGAACTGGCCATACAGGAGTGGAGGAGAAAAGCATTCTGGACAGAGGGGCAGCAGGTGTTAAGGCTCTGGAGCAGGAAAAGGCTTGGCTTGTTCAGGAAACAAAGCTAGGAAGACTGGAGTGCAGAGAACAAGAAGTAGAGAAGGGCAGATAAATGGCCTCAGCAGGACTTGTAGGCCATCACAGAGCATAAGTGCCTCAGCTAGTCGGTGAAGGACAGAAGACAAGGCAATGTCACTCCCATATTTACATTTTAGCAGTGTTACTTTTAGTTCCATGGGGAAATGAGTTGTGGAGGGCCAAAGGAAAAAGCAAGAGAACTGCTAACAAAACTATGGTCATCTGGACTGGATAATGCACTTGAAGTGGAGTCAACAGCCTCTCCAGCCAATGAGGTACATGTGAGTGAGAGGAAGAGAGGAATCAAGGGTGACACCCGAGATTCTGAATTAAGTACTGTGCAGTGGTAGATCCATACAGTGGAAAGTGGACACGTTTCAAGCAAATGTTGAGTTCTGCCTTGGTGAGTGAAGTGTGAGATGCTTGAGGGAAAGCCACGCGGAATCAAATGACAGCAGCTGGGTATTGCATCAATCCAACTGAGTCAGGAAAACAGAGACCTCACCAGTTATTTTAACAGAGAGAATTTAATATGGGGGATTGATTAAGCAGATATGGAGGACTGAGGACAGAAAAGGAATACTGGGATAACAGAGACTAGCTTCAGGGAGCCACCATCACCCATGGAGCTGGAAGAATGAAGGGAAAAGCCTCTGAGTCAGGACCCAGACCTCTAAGGAGGAGTTACTGCCTATCTGGTGCTGGTATATCTGAGGGACTTCCACGAGGCCAGTTCTAGGATTGTGGGAAAAAGCTGGAAACTGATAACAATGATACTACAGCAGTGATGCCGTCCAGAATGGTGAGCAAACAGAAAGAAGCATCTTCCTTCTCCCCTTCCAGGTTTCCAATCTTCTCTTCCTTTAGTGGCAGAGCCTAATGGAGCCAGTCGATCAAAGGAAAAAACCATGTACAAGCTCCAGCCCCAGCGTTGCAGACTGAGCCCAAAAAAGGCAGGTTTGGAGCTGAGAGGCAACAGCTTCCTGATCAACACAATTATGCAAGACTAGAGCTCAAAGGATAGACCTGGGCTAGAAACACACACTCAGTAATCATCAGTGAATATATCTGTGATTTTCTAGGACACTAATGACATTGAGAGCCCCAAACCCAGCTAGGCTTCTCAGGGCAAATCAAAAAGGCACAAAGCTACTTCCTGTCCACAAGACAACCCCAAGAACAACTAAAAAGTAATGAGACACTTGTATATGTGATCTTTGCCCCGGAGCAATGGGTCTCAAACCCACGTAAGCATCAGAATCATCTATGAAGTTTTTTTTTAAATTCAGATGCCCGGGTTCCACCCCAGAATCCTTGATGAGATTCTGCAGAGCAGGAGCTTGGACATCTGTGTTTTCTTTTTTTTTTTCTTTTTGTTTTGTTTTCTTTTTCTTTTTTTTTTTTGAGTTGGAGACTCACTCTGTCGCCCAGGCTGGAGGGCAGTGGCACGCTCATGGCCACCACAGCCTTGACCTGCTAGGCTCAGGTGATCCTTCTACCTCAGCCTTCCAAATAGCTGGAACTACAGGTACAGGCCACCATGCCCAGCTACTTTTTTAAAATTTATTGCAGAGATGAGGTCTCACCAAGTTGCCCAGGCTGGTCTCGAACCTTTGGGCCCAGGCAATCCTCTCTCTCAGCCTCCCAAAGTGCTGGGATTACAGGCGTGAGCCACTGTGCCCGGCCAACATCTGTATTTTCTAAAAGTCTCTGAGCTAGTCCCATGAACAGCCCTTCCTCAAACCAACAAGTATCTGAAACCACTAAATGGTGGCCTGAGTTGTTTGAAAATGGCTTTTGGCTGCAGTAGGACCAGAGTTAGGTTTTGAGGACTAGGCAGGAATTGAATAAAGTGAGGGCCAGAAGAAAGATTACTGTAAGGAGAGGATGTCTTGCAAAAGAGAGGAGAGGAGAGAAAGAAGGAGGAACCAGGCACAATAGCTACTCAGAAAATGCTCATTGATTTCAGTTGGTAAACTCTCAGAGTATTCCATGGGCCATTGCTCCCTCTTTCTGTTTTGAGCGTGCCATAGTTTGAACGTGTCCCCCAACAAGCACATGTTGGGAACTTAATCCCCAATGAAACAGTGTTAAGAGGTGGGACCTTTGGAAACTGACTAAGCCATGAGGACTCTGTCCTCACAAGTGGATTAATGTTGTTATCTCAGGAGTGGGTTCCTCATGAAAGGACAAGTTCAGGTGCGCTCCCCCCCACCAGTCTCTCTTCCTCTCTTTGTCCTTCTGCCATGTGATGCCTTCTGTCACGTTGTGACACAGCAAGAA